AGATGCTCTCAACATCGTAAACCTGTAGATATATCACAACATAATGACCTATTTTCTCACTGGCAGCAGACAATTATGACACTGATTCATTATCATGTTGAAAAACGTCGATCCAATCACTATCTGCCTGAAAGAAACTCGGTCTCTTGCCGGCTCTGATGTCTTGTGCACTTTCATATTCAAAGAGTCGTTTATTTCCGTCTTCGTGTTCGTCGGCCCCTGCCTCTCCTTCGTGGTACCATGGCTTCTGCTCGATTTTTTTTTTTCAAATCCGCCATGGCGCTTGATATGACTCAGCTTCCGAGACAAATTTTTGTTTATTAGCCAACTTCCTTTTTGTTCTCATCTTTTAGAACGTCAGTATTTCTTGTCTTCTTTGTCCATGATATTCTGATATTCTTTCAGCTCACAAGCCGTTGATTTCTTCCTTAGCGAATTGGAGACAGTGTCAACGACTCATATCCGTATGGTATTGGGAAGATGAATGCTCTCAGAATTGCAGCTTTGATTTTATTGCTAAAGACTTATAATGGTGTTTAATGACTGTATTGCTATGGCTGCCCTCCTTCTGGCTTCTATCGAGCAGTTTCCATTGCGGTTTATTGTGGATTCTAAATATTCAAAGCTTGTGACATTTCTTCATCATTTATTGTTTTTTTTTTTTTTTTTTGGGGGGGGGGGGGGGGGGTGACCGCCAGTTTTGTCTGTGGACATTAATTTTGCTTTCTTGAAATTCAAGAATATGTTTTAATCTTCACTGTGTGGACGACGGTCACGACAAGCAAGACTGACTCCAAGAAAAAGCCGTTTGGTTTGTGGAATGTTGAATTAAGAATCGACATCACAGCACTCGGGACACTCCCATAAGCTCTCCGTCCCCATGTTTAGCAGCAAGCGCATAGTTTAAATTCCGATGGTACCAATAACAGTCTGAATGTATATCCGTCTCGCCCCTCCCCCGAGTTTCGAGCGTCGGCCAGATCCCCTTGTAACTCCTTGGAGCGCCATTCTCCTCGGACCGTAATGATTTATCTGTTCCTCGGCACTGTTCACTCGCTCCCAAAGGGAGCGAAAACTGAGCGAAAACTGAGCGAAAACTGAGCCCTCCATCTCCATTCTCTCAACACCAAAAACAGCTCGTAGATACAAGAGCACAACATATAGCTTGTTCAGTTCACTACCAAGTGGTGCAGAACCGGCCAGTCTATCCACCTGCTCATTTCCCAACACACCAGCATGACCTGGAAAAAATATCCAAAGGATGCTAACTACCCGGGACCTCTGAAGTGATGCTTGCCACTCTGCATGTAGCAAGCCTGTCTCCGCCTTCCTTTCTCAGCATGCTCTGTAAGTCAGTAACAATGCCGACATGTGTGTACAGCTGATTCTCAAGCCAACGGAAGACAGCAGTGACTGCCTCCACCTTGGTTTGTGGAAAACACGAGAAAGTATGAGGTGAGACTCAAGACTTCATGAGGGCAGGGGAAAAATTATTAGAGATAAAGTAGTTGAGAATGCTGAGTTTGATGACTCTTGGGGACCGTATGTGAATGAATGGGTATGCGTGTGTACCAGCCACGGAGAACGCAGAGGATCCTGGCCATGTGGAATCGTCTACAAATGGCCGCCTGAGGTCAAAGACTGATTGAGAATCCCTTGGACTAAGTGTGCTGAATGAACTGTTGGAAGAGTAGACTATGAGAGTTATACATCTATAGTAAGTAAAGTGAAGATCCCTTTTCACGCCTTTCGGCGCATCGGGCATATGGACAGAGCGTCCCATATTTTACAGACCATCAGCACTCTGTGGTTAATGTGGTCAGCATTACGACGGCTGTCTTTACTTTCCCAGGACAGCCCATCCTGGTACCCATTTTAGGCTGGGTCGACCTGCGACGTCCCATACCACGACAAAAATCCACGCAGCCTGCAGTGGGTTTCGATCGCGGTATGCTGGCTCACGAGTCGGACTCGCAACGCCTTAGCCACGGACGCCGCTAGGATAATTTCAATTTAGCTGTTTGATATTCCATGAACTTGATTGGTCATTATCTCCTAGACATTTTGACCACAGGCTCGCGTTGACTGAGAAGAAAGCCCCATGGGAAAAAAGCTTTATCTGCTGTTCTGGGTTGTTAGCGTTTTGTCCTTAATGGAGTTCATTGTTCTTCGACAATGTACACTGAGAAGGCTGCAAGCACTGAGTCTCTAAAAGAAGTGCATTGCACACAATATCAAGCTGTTCTTTACATCCGCTATCGAAATACAAGAAGGATCCACTATTTTTAAGAAAAAAATTCATCCAAAGAAAGATACAAACGTTTCTTACCTTCTTTGCTCAGACCTTGTTCTCGAAGTATATACAAGAGCACAATTGCTACTTCTAACTTCCTGGCTTCGGCAGTCAGTGGATCTAGGGAAACACAACATGGCTTGTGGACAAACTAGTATGTGTAAGAGTTTAACAGAGTCAATCAGCAGATACTTAATAGAACGTCGC